AAAAAAAAAAAAAAAGTACCCCTGAAAGCATCACTCGGTTACCGAGGGGGGAAAAACCTGGTTGCTTTGGCGCCATTCCCACCGCCACCTGTTTCCTGTTGGAGGGAAACGAAGTATACAAATAGAGCAACGGTCGCCTGCCTTCCAGCCTTGTACATTCCAATATTGAGAGCCACAGAATTCGATATCATACTGAAAAGTTTTTACAAAATAAAAGTGGAAAGTACGACGCAATCTCGTGAGATTATGATTCAATTTGCATGAAATTACAACCATATATCATAAAAGCATCAGTCAAGATATATCATAAGATGGATGCCCAATGGTTCCATTTTCTTGTACATAACGCCCACAAAATTAAGTCATAACTTAAAGCTTATCTTGTACTAACTTTTGGTATAGAATCAGAAAGTTACATATTTATAGTTCTATTGAGGATTTGGAGGGCGGCTATTGGCAGTAGCAACTCGGGAACCCCATTCCAGCAGCTCTTTGCTAGTGTCATCCCTGTGCACCACCACTTCAATGAAACATAATGAATCCTTCTGTGCTCCTGTTGCCGTTGCAATTGCTTCTGTTAGCTCATCCTCCGTTCGCACCTATTGTTCAAACAACCCCTCCATTAGTATGCTACGAACAAACTTCCAAGACGGATGCATGAAAAGGGGAGACCATTGTCATCACCATACTTGTAACCATGGCCAATGATGGACTCAATTAAATGCTAGATTACTATCAAATTCAAGATAATGAGTAATAAATTTTTGTACTAGGGTGTGCTACAGATTGCACTGCACTGCTGCTAATAAAAGGCCTGTGGATATCAGAAGCTCATATATTTATGCTTACCCTGGTAGTCCAGCATTTGCCTTCACCATTGTGGATGGCATTTACAAGGCCTGTGTAGTCCCAATTCTTGATCACATTGTAAGGGCCATCATGAATCTCTACTTCTATTGTATAACCACCATTGTTGATCAGGAATATAATGCTCCTTTGTTCACATCGAATCATCGTTGAAACATCCTGAGCTGTCACCTGCATAAAAAGAGAATATTCTGCTCAGCAATCTAGGGTCTACTGTTCTCCAAAATTAAATGACAAATACAACCAAGTATAACAGTATAAGCCCTATCAGTGACTGTTGCTAAAAAGTTTGGCTGGAGTGACCTTTACCACCTTGAAGGCTTACATCCATTTTCTTCGTATGTTTAAATATGTCCTGTTGTTCTACCCATTAGGGTCCAGACATAAGCCATGGGCTCGATCATTAGGTTCGACCCTGGTCTTACCGGAAACCCTGACATTCAAATAAGAAGTGGGCAAATATATGAAGGCGCCACAAAATAGAATGGCAGAAATTTATAGCAGTTTAAGAATCTTTTTATCAAAGATGAAGTGCCCTTACTGCTTTGGTATTTTTAATGTGATTACAATTCCTAAACATAGTTTATATTGTGTTTAACACTTAACATAAAAAAAACAGTCATTCTAATCCTGAATGCAGGAAACTAAGGCTTTTCTTTAGCACAAACTATCATCAACACCACAATTACAACTGACCTGAAAACTTCCATCACCAATGCATGCAATAACGCGCTTGTATTTGGCTGCCTGAGCATAACCGAGAGTGGCACCTACTGACCATCCAATGGATCCATACTGCATCTGAAATTCATAACTGAGGAAAAACAAGACAAATTAAAAGAAAGCGAATTACATGGTGACCACCACAAACCTTAGGCCAATCTATAAGAATACAGGATTGGGACTGATTGAATATAATGTCATGCTTCACTTAAGGACCTTCTTACCCGCAATTTCCAGGGAGACGGAGTTTCTGACAATTGAACCATGAATCCCCTGTCTCCGCAATTACAGCAGTGTCTCCAGTCAGCATCCCCTGTTAATGAGTTTTATTTAATCAAATGAAAGAGCCAATCTAGTATTTATATAGAAGTGTGCATGATATAGAAAAGCTCAGCAATAGAGATCAACATATTTTGGGGTGCATTAGATATGAATTCCTTTTCCTTTTCTTTTTTTTTAAAATATTACGACTATTCATAGAGAAACCACCTTAATTCTTCTAAATTCCAAATCTTAGATGACTTACTAGTCAAAATACCAACCCAAGATATGAAAGCAGCTGATCACATTCTTTCCCAATTTAGTCCAGAGAAGCATAATAACAAATCAGAAAGCCAAGGGTTGAAATTTGTGATCAGGATCTCATCTCAAGTGTGACATATAATTCACAAAAACAACACATATCATTTTCCCTTGACCAAAAAAGAAAAATAGTGTGGCAAAAAAGGACTCTGTCAAGGCCTGCAAATGATTATGCCTTATTATAGACCTTACCATCATACTTTAAAAGAATAAGAGATACTACATGATGCTTCTTCTTTTTTACCTGGATGTGCTTGAAGAGAATGTTGACTCTGAGAAGTTCATCCTTTTCATGCTTAAATGCAATCCCGGGAGGGACATAAATCCTACGGTAATTCTCCATAGCTGTGCTGTTCTTCTTCAGCTTTTTGGCCAAAGCAGTTAAGAAATCCTTCATGAAAACCCAGCCAAAGGAAGGACCATTACCAATGGTCACTCGATTGGGCTGAACTATCACTGCTTTCTCTTTCTTGATCAGCAATGAGTATCCAACAGAACTATAGTCGTTGAAGATGGGGCCAATGAAAACATAGGCATCAGCAGATTCAACTATCTCCCCACAAAAGCCGGTACTGACAGCACCCCAGTATGTCCCGATGAAGTGTGGATGTTGTTCTGGCACAAGTCCCTTACCTGACGGCATCACAGCTATGGGATACTCACATGCATCTGCAAGCTCTACAAAGGCCTGTTGTGCCTTTGCAACCCTCAGCTTGGGGCCTGCAACAAGAACAGGTTTTACAGCCTTGTTCAGAAACTCTGCTGTCGCTTCCACTGCTGCTTCTAGTCCTAACTGATTGCTGAGCCTGAAGGAAAGTGACAGAAAAAAGAAACGATAGAAATGGAAAATAAAGTCAAGCGAAAAAACATACAGAAAAACAGAGGATACTTATGTACTCGATGGAGGCATAATTTCAAGTGAAATTGAGGGACAATAAGTTTCTATTTGAGTTCCATCATATTTAAATGGCTTGAAAAAGCATGTTATTCACTAATTGTTTTAAGATAAACTATTTGGGGGAAGTAACAAGATGGTGAAGATAGCCCCCAAAAGAAACAAATAATGCAAAATGCAGACTCCGCAGCTCATATGGCTGAGCACATATTCTACAAGGTCTGTAAATTTTCCTGCACATGGCACCCATCTTAAGTAATCTCAGATTTCACAAGGTAACTGCTTGATTCTGTTGTGGAATGTTTTTCCATAAAATCACATCAAATCTAGAAAAACACGAATATAGGTTTTTTTACGATTTTGTTTGGTTAAAGTCTGCAAAATTGATTAGCAAACTCAATTCTAACCCTGTTTTGACTTGACCTTATATGTGAAAACACTTTCTGGCAATGTGTAGTGTATTCTCTTGGTGTAGACTCTGTTTTCCCAATCGTTGGCAACTCTCCCCCCCCCCCCCCCCCCCC